CAGGAATGCATGGGAGATGGAGATAGAAGAAAAAGTAACATAAGTCAGACTGAGTCAGGGATAGAGGAATAATCATAAAGATTAGATAACGATGACTAACACATAGTGAACATTTACTATGTACTTGTCACCATTCTAAGTGCTTTACACAAACTCCTTCATTTAAAATGCCCAAACAAACCCTCTGGATTTTATAGAAACAGAGGCACAGGGATGTAACTTGCCCAAAGTGGCACAGCTAGTAAGTGGAAGAGCTAGATCTAAACCCAGACAGCCTGACTTTGCCATCTATTCTCGGGCCGTGCACTGCAACAGGGAAGAGGCCTTGAGGAACTGCTGGAACTTCCTGTATCAGGGGCCCACCTCCATGTCAAACGTCATGGTCCTGTTAGTTTACTTGCCATTCCTCAAACACTTACTAAGCTCCTGCTTTGAGCCAAACAGGGCCCCACCTAATTTTGTGTCACTCTGACCCCAGCTGTGATCTGACCTCTTCATCAGCAGGCTTGGTAAGACAGCCAACTGTGGCAAGGTTCAAGGTCAGGAGTTTTCAAGGTGGAGCCAAGAGCCTAGTCAGATCCACCTGGGGAGGTTTGTAGACTGACTGAGTTCCCCAGCCACCTCACTACACACACAGACACACACACACACACACACACACACACACAGGTCAACTAGAACATCTGGTTTGACAAACCTCCCAGTGCTGATATGTCACTATGTGTAGGGTTACAACCACTGCCATTAAATGCTCTGTTTCTCACTCACTTACTGCCTCTGAAGGTTCTAAGTAAGTTCGGAAACAAAATCCCTCATTGAAAAGAGCTTTCCCTGTTTGATGTTGACGTTGATACTTTCTAAGTGCCTGTGAATATATCATCAACATCCATCTCAAAATTATTTTTGACTTGGCCCCTGGGTCAGGTGTCCTTTCTCAGAATTCCCAAAGGCTTAGAGCCCTATTTTGTCCTGGGTGCTCATTAGAGTTTTTCTGAGCCAGGACCTCAAGATCAGCCAGACTCATAGTTCCAAAGTAGCCCACGACTTTAAGCACACCTTGCTTCATTGCGCAAGGTGGAGAAGTAGGAGTTTAAAATTGACTAAGACTTACGAGCTAGCCTCAATTAGACTCTTTGAACAACTTTTGGCTACTGGCCCTGAAGCAGAAAGAAAGATTTAACACAATAGATTTTCCCTTGAGAAGACACAACTGCAAGTTATGTTTTAAGAGCTTAGGAGGAATGCTCCAAGCCATCACCACTCCCTTGATAAAATACCTGCCTCTTTAAAGGTATCTTAGCTCGGGACTTCCCTGGTGGCACAGTGGTTAAGAATCTGCCTGCCAGTGCAGGGGACATGGGTCCGAGCCCTGGTCTGGGAAGATCCCACATGCCGCGGAGCAACTAAGCCCGTGTGCCACAACTACCGAGGCTGCGCTCTAGAGCCACAAGCCACAACTACTGAGTCCGTGTGCCACAGCTACTGAGCCCACGTGCTGCAACTACTGAAGCTCACGGCCCTAGAGCCCACGCTCCACAATAAGAGAAGCCCCTGCAATGAGAGCACATTAACCACAACAAAGAGTAGTCCCCACTCGCCGCAAATAGAGAAAGCCCGTGCACAGCAACGAAGACCCAATGTAGCCAAAAATAAATAAATAAATAAATTTATTTATTTTTTTAAAAGTATCTTAGCTCATTACTCAAACACTTCATTTAGCTGAGAAGCAGGATACCTTTAGCTTCCTGAGTCAGGGCTTTGGGAGATAATTCTCTCTTTATTCACTGACTTATAGAGGCACATGTTATATGAGTGTACGCACACACAGGCACAGGCACATGTGCACACTCACATTTCCTATAAACTTAGTACTCGCATAAAACAAATGCAGAATCAAACTACTAACTTCCTGGGTTCAGGAGCCTCAGAGACTTTATGAAGTATCTTTCCTACATTGGTTTAAAGTAGCACTTCTCAAAGTTTGCTCCGTGGACCAGCGCCATCAGCATCAGCTGGAAACTTGAAAGAAGTGCAAATTCTTGGGCTCCACTTCACACTCACTGAGTCAGAAACTAGAGGCGGGACCTGGCTTTTAACAAGCCCTCTAGGAGATTCTACTTCTCACTCAAGTTTGAGAGCCCGCGGTCTAAAGAAATCACTGTTGCATCCTTTTCTGAGGAATAGATAGAAACCCATCACAAGGGGACCCAGTTATGATGGCAAATTCAAAATAAATTCCCTCACTGCATCCTCTCCTTTGCAGCCTAGCCTCACACTCCCCTATTCCTCTTCTTCCACAGAGCAAATGTACTTTTGTCTCTTTTTACAGGTCTAGACAAACTGAAAGGCACTACATCCCTTGTGAACATGGACCTTTCCCTGGTGGTGGAATGCATGGACCACGCTCTCACAAGTCTCTTCCCTAAAACCCATTATGCTTCTGGAAAAGATGCCAAAACTTTCTGGATTCCTCTGTCTCACATGCCAGCAGTTTTGCAAGACTTTTTACTGTTGAAACAGAAAGTAGAGCTGGCTAATCCCAAGGCAGTGTGACTCAGCTGACCACAAATGCCTGCCCCAGGCTATGAGATTGGCTGATTCCAAGGACATATCTCCTTCTCCATCTCATTCTTTACCTAATCCAACCTGGACTCATTTAGATGATGCTTCGTTTGGTAAAAGAAGAGATCCCACCACCACTGATGATGTCCCAGGGTCCCTTCTCAAACTTGATTTGAAAAGATGGGCAGGTACGACACCTGCCCGACAGTTAGGCTTTGCCTGCTTGGTATGACGTAAGGAAAATGGGAAGCCTTTCCCATTCAAAATGATCTCCACGCCTTGCCTGCCCCATGCTTCTATTCCAGAGCACTTAAAAGTAACTCCTGAATGTTAAATATTTGTCCCTTATCAAAACATTGAGAGATAAGTAGAATACTTTCATAAGTGGATTAGGTGTGTTATCTTGCTGAGCGTAAGGTTAAGACTAAGGATTAGAACTCAGTTCTGTGAGCTTTGATGGAGGCAAGAAAAGGAACGGTAATGAAGCATTACGGAACTGGTATAAGCTAAGGGGTAGCAGAAGAGTACTAGGTAAGACTGCAAGTAGGAGGGAAGGAAAAGGAGAAAAGGAATAGGAGGACTGAAAAACAGAAACAAGTGTAAAAGCAGAGGTAGGGAGACTCCAAGACAAGCCTGCCTATCCTAGAGGGAACTACAGAGGACGGACAGCTTCTTCAAGGCCACTGTGAACATTGATGCCCATACAGCTCTCTGTGGAAAGATGGTAACAACAGAGGAACCAGTCATTCCAAAAGAAGAAAAATGTAGAGCATGTGTGTTTATTCTGGTTTATTGTAAATATAACAAGACATAGACTATCTGATACAATTACACATGAGATGGTTGGAAATCCAATATTTGAAGGGGTCTCTGAAGCCCCATGAAAATACAGAGCTAAATTCAAAGACTCTCTTTCACCTACAGTTACAGTGAGAGCAGGTCTGCTCCTGGCTCATATCACCGTTCTAAATTGGGTTGACTCTGGACCCACCCCACATCCAAAAGAAACAGCTACCTAAATGGATGCTTGCCCAAACCCCAGCGCCCAGCCCAGTATCACTCACAGAGTTTGGCTGAATATTTACATGAAAAGCCCGAATTGTCAAAATGTAACATTTGTTGCAGATTAATGTAGGGTGAAACAGCGGGAGAAATTATCTAGTGTGCATATTTGTGTGTATGCGCACACACACACTGAACTACGGTGAAGAAACTGTTTAATGTCTGCTGCTTGAAACCATGTCACTTAGAAGATACCAGTAATTCAATTCATTTACACTCACCTTTCAGGAAACATCTGCCTATGAGGTAGTTTCCTCCTTTCACATTTGCAACATACTGATGACTTTGCAAAATCAAATTTCCAATGGTGTCATGTCCACCTGAACATATATTTCATTATTTTGAGAGTAGATACTCTCATCCTTTTTGCATGAAAATCACAGCAAGAATCAGATAGAAAAATTCTGTTCAAGCTTCCATCATCTCTTATCTCAACTACAGCATATTTACCCTGTGTAGCTTCAATAATTTCTCCTCACTGCAGTCAGATTGTTCAAAATTAAAATCTGATTGCGCTGGTCTTCTCCCCACCTCCACTTTCCTAAACCCTTCAGTATGTTCCCATTGCACTTTGACTGGATTAAAATGCATAACATAAACCACGTTGTCCTGGCATGCCTCATGAGCCTCATTTTAGGCTACTATTCTCATTTTGCCATCTCAGGGCCTTTGATCGTGCTTCTCCCTAGAACGTTCCGATTTTACCTGCTTATCTAGTTTCCTCATCCTACGATCTCAGCCCCTTCCTCAGGGAAGCGTGTACAATTCCAAAATCTGACCACCATCTTTTCATCCCAACTAGGTTCCCATCTTATACATTCTCACAGCACCCTATAATTTACTTCAGGGCACTTATCACAGTCTGTAATTATGTATTTGTGTGGCTGGTAAGTTAGTTAATATTGGTCTTCCCTATCAATTGTTTTTTCTTAACTTTTTACTGACATTGGCAAATTAAAATAGAATAAATTAACAAGTATCTTTTCAAAAAAATGTTTTGTACAAAAATGCTGTCAAAATTTCCTAAGAAGCTTTCAACACAGTAGTATCTTTTCATGTACTGAATATAACTATTAGCACGGTGTCAAAAATGTTGAAGACAGAAACAAAATAAAAATCTGTGAAATGTTTGCCACTGATGACATTCCACACCCTATTATTGTCTGTACATATGGGGGAGAGGGACAGCCACCTTGAGAGTGAACAGTATGACTCTCCCTATCACATTTTAAGTTCCATGAAATCAGGAACCATGATGATTTGCTTATCTTCGTATTCCCTTGCCTAGCACATTACTGGCACATAGACCAGTGTTCAATAAATATTTGTGGAATAAATTCAGAAATCAGCCTGTATTAGCCGTTCTGACTAAGGTGCAGTCTATCACTTAAGATCAAGTTTGGCAGCCCCATTACTTGTGCTACCAATGTGTCAGTTCAACAAAATCCTGTAACTTCCTTAAGCCTTTGAGTACTTCCACAAGGGCTCCTTACCTCTGGTTCTGCTATCAGCATTCCCTCAGAGATTAGTCAGTGTTGCCAGAGTGATTTTCCCCGTGACCGGTTGATCCAAAGATACTGTGAAGGAGCCTGCGTCTATGTTGAGACTTCCTGGGCCCAGTGGTCACAGAAAAAGAGAACATTAGAAATCATTTTGTCCAGGAAATTCCCTGGCAGTCCAGGGGTTAGGACTGCGTGTTTTCACTGCAGAGGGCCCGGGTTCAATCCCTGGTCAGGGAACTAAGATCCTGCAAGCCGTGTGATGTGGGAAAAAAAAAAAAAAAAAAATCATTTTGTCCATTTCTCTGACTGTAAGCAGGACATGTCCATGCCATCCAGGCTGAAGAGAATCTCTTCTGTTTAAAATCTCTCCAGAAACTCCATAACTCCTGTGGGAAACCCAGCGCAGCATTTAATGAGGAAAACTTCCAGGAGTTTCTAAGAAAAGTGATCAATTTTGGCTCTTCTCCACCCTATTAATCCCAATAATTCTCAAGAACACAAGAGAAAACAGTACCATCGGTGTGGAGGAAAGAGCTAAACATTCGTAAAGTGAAAAGCTTTTTAATATTTACAAATTATTTGTGACAACTTAATCTTTGCCACAGTTTATAAGGATAATACTGGCCAACAGTTTCATGAATTTTTGCACGTTGAAAAATAAGACAATTCTGTTGATACTCAATTCAGACATTCTTCCTCAACTCTGTGATTCATGTTTTTAAAACAAAATATGAGTAATATCCATTCTTCTATATGAGGCATTGAAATAGCCAGGGCTCTAATGCAGATTCTGGTTTAGCAAAGTTTCCAAGCTCTTTCTGCACACAGTACCTGCCTAGGAAAAAAACAGATCACAGCTCTTGCCTAATTCATTCCTGGAAATAAATAACACTCCAGCCTGAAACAGGTCATGCAAAGCAACATAACATTCTGTCACATTCTACGCAAGGCAACTGCCCTGAACAGTTCCATTTCAGTTCCTTTTGAGAAACTGGAGATGGAAAGCATTCTGCTATAGACACATAGCATAAGCCCTGACAAAAACCATCCAGTCCCATGCCTAGGTAAAATATTTACTCTCAGCCCTCTGGGTCTGTTTTTTCCTCCTGGATATGGCAACTAGAACTTGAGCATGATGCTACCCAATTAATGATGGTACCTTTGTTATGGATCAAGTAATCCAAGCAACCTGGCTTCTCACAGGTGTAATAAGAAAAATATAGTAATGGTTATTCAACACTCAGTACATGTCAGGTTCTTAATGCATTTGTACATTGCATGAATGATTTTCCTAACCCTAATCATATCTTAGATATGGGGGTTTTTTGCTTTTTGTTTATCTTTAATGTGGCAGGAACACAACATTAAATCCACCCTCTTAACAAAGGAAGTGTACAATACGATACTGTAAACTATAGGTACAGTATTGTACAAAAGATCTCAGGAACTCAATCATCTTGCATAAATGAAATTTTACACCAGTTGAACAGCAGCTCCCCTTTTTCCTTTCCCCCCAGTCCCTGGCAACTACCATTCTACCCCCTGCTTCTATGAGTTTGACTATTTTACATGCCTGATATAAGTGGTAACATGCAATATTTGTCTTTCCGTGACTGGTTTCTTACTTTTTTTTTTTATATTCATTTATTTGTTTGTTTGCACCAGGTCTTAGTTGTGGCAGGTGGGCTCCTTAGTTGTGGCATGAGAACTCAGTTGCGGCATGCATGTGGGATATAGTTCCCTGACCAGGGATCAAACCCAGGCCTCCTGCATTGGGAGCATGGAGTCTTCCACTGCTCCACCAGGGAAGTCCCTGTGACTGGTTTATTTCACTTAGCATAATGTCTTTTAGGTTCATCCATGTTGAGGCATATAGAAGGATTTCCTTCTTTGTTAAGGCTGAATAATATTCCAGTGTATGTATATACCACATTTTCTTAATCCATTCATCTGTTGCTCAACATTTAGATTGTTTCCATATTTTGGTTATTCTGAATAGTGCTACTATAACCATGGAAGTGCAAGTATCTCTTTGTGATTCTGATTTCAATCCTTTTGGATAAATGCCCAGAAGTGGGATTTGCTGGATCATATGGTATTTCTATTTTTAATTTTTTGAGGAATGTTTTCCTTAATGTTTTCCTTAGCAACTCCACCATTTTACATTCCCATCAACTATGCTTAAGCGTTCCAGTTTCTCTTCATCCTCACCAACACTTACCTTTTGTTTTCTTGATAATAGCCATCCCGACAGGTGTAAGATGATACTTCATTGTGGTTTTGATTTGCATTATTTGATGATTAGTGATTAGTGATATTGAGCATCTTTTCATGTACCTGTTGGTCATTTGCATATCTTCTTTGAAGAAGAGTCTATTCAAGTCCTTTGCCCATTTTTTAATCAGGTTATTTGGTTTTTGCTATTAAGTTGGAGTAGTTCCTTATATATTTTGGATATTAGGTATGCTTTTTAGAGACAGAGAAATGAAGTCACAGAGAGGTGAATAATTTGCCCAAGTATGGGCCAGGGTTCAAACCCAAGCAGGCTAATGCCAGAACTCACACTCAGAACCACTGTAGTATATAGAAATTGAGTCTCACAAAGTATTTTTCTAAACTTCAATACTGGGTCTATAGAAACAAAGCCTTAATTAAATTAATCTAACATGAGTATTGTCTAGCTAATAATTATTATGCATAAGAGTAATGCATAATTTTGAGCATATATAAATACACACTCTGTTTTGTTTTCCTATATTCTATTTTTAAATTTTTCTCACTGGTGATAAAATAACAAAAGCATTT